CAAACTCTAAAAATCCTGTACCCTCTCACAAGTAAACAAAAGTGATTGTTTTCAGGCACTCGGCAGAAATTTGAACCCGTCAACAGAGCAGTTTATCTCCGGGGAATTTCGCGAAGCTACTATACGGCCTGCGAGTACCGTTTTGTTTTGTCCCGCGACCTGCGCAACTTCTATCCTACGGGACCGAAACAAAAATACTCTCTCTGAAACAGAAAATGGTCACACGGTTTCTTCCGGGGGCTGTCATAAGCGGAAACACGGAGTGCTTTGTCGTACCGAATTTGACAGCTCTTCCAGTCAATCACTCCCCTAATTCCCTTTGGACATCTGCGTGACATCCACGTCTAATTGACTGTGAAAGTCACGCGCAGGAGTCGCTAATGGTACTGACAGTCCCTAGATGGTTCATTAGGAGGGCTATATAATGAAGACAAACAAAGTGGCATAAGCGTATTACCATTCCAGATGGGTGTTTTTCTTTTCATAGTTAGATTTCAAATCCAATGCTCCTTCATTATATATTAAAAATACATAAAAATCGACTGGGCATTAACAATAGGGTATTTCCAAGTTTCAAGAAGTGTGTGTGACCCTATATTTTGTACACAAAATTAAGATGGATCAATACCACGAAGGTCATGGCGCATAATCCGAAATTGGAAAGAGATGTCGCATTACTAGGCCAGGTAATTTTCAAACTGACGACAAGGAGACATATCTGTTGCACTCGATGTTCCTTTTTATGCATAAAAGATGAAGTGTCGTAAACAAAATATGTGCTTGTATGCCCTTTTTGTTCAAACCTCCATGTGATGGTACCCGTGATTTCGAACAATCCCAGCTCGCCTCCAATCTCGAAAGGAATTAGGTCCGTCAGTCACAGAGGTGAAGCAACATTGTTGACAGATTTGATATTAAACTGTCATTTCGGAAATTGCTGTCATGATTTATTCCACATGTTTTGAACAGTGAGAAAACAGGCCTATGAAAAAATGCAAATCGCCAAGAATCTGTCTTGCCGAAGTGCCTTCATATCGTTCCGGAATTGAGAAGAACCAATCTGATGCAAGAATGTGGATATCAGGAATCAGCTGATGCTGCATCCCCTTCGATATGTGCTGTAAGCATGTGGTAGGCACGCACCAGTCTTCCCAAAGTAATAGTACAAATCACAGGCGCTACAGAAAAACTCATATTTTAACCGAGCTACACTGGGAACAATGTTTATCGTGCATCATTCTCACACTGCCATCCAGAGCGCCAAAGACGATTCGGTTTTCTTGACCTTGGGCACTCGCTTGAGTTGTTTCGTTTTTTTGGGCCGAGAGTTGAGCACGAATAGTTGAAAACAAAGTGCAAATGTGTATGCTGACCCATTCGTCCCGGATGTTTTGACTCCTCAGACTTCCCGCTTCCGACAGAATCAGATCACAGTTAGGAAGCGCTCAACCTTGAAGTTTGATTAGGACTACGTTAGGTTAGAACAACATGTGGGCGAACAGAATCATTGGAAGGGAAGTTCAAACCCATCTCTTGCCTGACGCTTCCTCTAAAGACAATCCAGTGGTGAGAAACTGCTACCGAAACGGATGCTGCACTTCCGCGTGGGCTTTTCTCCAAAAGATTGCCTCCTCAAACGAAACTGACCAGTCCAAGAATGTTAGCACGACAAAAGGCTTCCGTATTGGTTTATTTGTATCAAGAGTAGAGTAGGGTGAATGTTGATGGGAAAAAACCGCGAGCCTGCCCGTGGCAGATGATGACCAGTTGACTTGTGTTTCCAAGCTATTCTAGAGTCTGCAAACAGTAGAGCTCTAGTCAGGCGGCTCTAATCGGCTGCGATTGTACCCAATATTGTGCAATAGTTTTGAAAGGCGAGGTTGAGTTAGAGCCGAGTATGGTGACTTTAGAGACCACTCAAGCTGTAATTTCGCCGTTCACCACGTCATTGTTTGGGAGCGAAAACCAAGGATACAAGACTTGAAACAACGGTAGAATTTTGAACGTATTCGCGCTCTGTCTTCAGTCTTCAGCTGACCATAAATCGATTGCCTTGGGAGGGGTCTCATGTGGTCTCTCCTTGAGGACACTTCGGTACAGCTGGGTGCGATGTAACCGTAAAGTCTACTCCAGAAACGCTCATAATGGCGACTGATCGAACTGCTTACCTTGACAGTTGTACCCTTTAGCAAACATACACTCATTTGCAAACTAATTTCGTTTTGCGAGAGACTCACCTGGAATCCAGATGAATATCTCGGTTTCGATGTTTTCAGTCAACTGAATGTGCTGCATCAGGCCGCCTCATGTTTCAGTCGCTACGATATTCGGGATATCGCGGTACATGTATATCTTTGTAATGTACTACTCATAAGGTTGCTGAAGTTTGGTCTCAAGTAGAACGTAAGGTTGACGGAAACTCGGGGACTGCGCCTACCTGATGAGACCAAAAAGGGCAAAACCCGTCGTGGGCTGTCGACGGATTTTCAGCAACCTTATGAGCAGTGTATTACAAATATAAAATTGTACCTTTGATTTCAGCACCGATTATCAGGTTTTCGTGGAGGATATCGTCGAATCGCTAAAAACCCTAACAACAATATGTACCACGGCTGTCACCCTGAAGACAGGGAGTCCGTCTTTGCAAGCTTCGGGAGGATATCCTAGAAAGAGTTACCTGTAGGCCAATACGAAGTTTGGCCGAAGCGAATAGGTAACTGTATTTCCGTCTTGCAAGATGGGTGGAAGCACGATCGTCCGCAAAGAACAAAATTCCTAGCCTTGTCTTGTACGGCCTCTTTTCGACCTTCAAGTGCTTCTGGCCAGTTATTAACAGGCGTGATGGCATCAGACACAATTCCTAGTAGATTCAGAGCAGAAAGTTTCTGAACAGCAGCAGTGCGACCGTAACACTCGTGAGATATTTTGAGGCCCTCGGATAAATTGCTCCGTCCTCCAGTGAATCTGTGCTCACTTTGAATACTTCGACCAGATAGTTTGCTTTCTACAAACATGTTTTCTACAGTTCCTTTAGCTCTCGCCTGATTCCGGTCTTCGTAGATGGACTGGAAAAATATATGTTCACGTGAGATTGAAGTAACTCTACTGGATAGTATGTTTTTTAAGTAATGTTGGGAAAAAATGACCGAGACTAATCCGAAATTATTCGAATTCGGTCTCTTTTGCTGTCTTATATCTACTAGAGGTACTGATTTGTTTGCTCCCAAAAATTTCTCGTTTCCTGTTTTAAATCACTTGGCCCTTTTCAACTCATTACTCATCATTCATTTTTCAAGGACGGTTAAATTTCTGGTCCTTACGTCGCAACGATCCCTTCAGCCTAATGAATCCGGAACACCTTGGCGAAGTTGTTGAATAGGACAACCTGTGGACGACACCCTCTCGTAACTTCCGTAATAAAGACCGACCTAATAGCTTCCTGGTACTAATCCTGGTTGGCCGTAACCTCGTCCAATCACCAGGAAGCTTCTTCAGTGGCAGTAGCAGTGGTAATTGGACCCACTTGCTTACGTTCATCGCTCCAGGTCCGAAAGACCTGAGTACGTATTCCCGTACCTACTTTTCAAAACAAAATTAGGCATCTAGTGCTCTTCCTCAGCCAGCCAACCTGGCTGTATTGAAACCAGCTGGGTTGCTATACTAGTGTTTCAGCTCCTTGGTTAAACACTCGGTCTGGCTTTCCGACCTGTCACTTCCATCCATGATGGTTCTTAAGTATTAGATTCCAAATTATGGTCAGTTTGCAATTTTGGAGTTTTGCGGGATAGGTATTGTGTTCATAGTCGCACCACTCTCGTTTGAACGTTCGTGTTCCTGTCCTGGCGTAATTATTCCGGCGCTGGACTCGAGTTCCGCTCTTATTAGAGCTCATCAGCGGTGCATATCCACTGACCGTGCCGGGATTTGAACCCCGGACGTGTGACATGCGAGGCCAGCGTGTTACCCCTATTCCTTCAACGCACGTTGGACGCATCTGAATTATCACGTCTAAACAGACGAACGTGTTCACACTTGAGCGATGTGATTTGCGTGCCCGGCTCGTCGAACGACGACCCAGTAACTGTCCTGGTTGTCAGGTAGCGTGGCACACGCTTGAAACCCACTGAGGAGCGTTTTGGTTACAATTTTGGGATTTAGCGGGATAGGGCTTTAGTTCATGGTCAGTTTATCTTCACCCTTTGCTTCAAGGTTGCTGACTGGTTCAACCTCCACATTCCTAATTCGTAGCAGTTGCTACCGGTTCCGTAGCTGAACTATCCGTGCTCCTATCTGACGATCGATTCACCCATCTTGATGCAGCTTCGCCAAGACCAAATATTTGAGAGTATGACTCGCTAGGAAGGGGGAACGGGATCAGCCCAGCTCAGCGAAGCAAACAAATGTGTAATTTCCAAGCTTCATATACTGATGCATATAGTAGCTGCTTTTTGATCGTCTCTTGACTCACAGCATAAGTTGATGCACCGCCGATCACGGTCAACCTGTGGGTGATTGAAGGCTTTTACGGCCAGCTCTTTCCATCTCCTGTTTTCTCGAGGAACGTAGCACTGCTGTCCTTAAAGATTTGAAGATGATTGCTACCTAAGGGTAACGTCTCTTTATTTTAACACTGTTGTTGAAGGGACTTTCAGGAATGGTAAGTTCTTAGAGGACTTTACAACAAAAGCGTATGTCACAAGGGATCTTACAGACTCATGTTTGATGGCTCTTCGTCAGTTTTCTCGACATGAGAAGCGTGATGAAGTAAACTCTTTGTAGTAACGGTATTTTTTCTCAGCTTAGTTCCCGGTCCGAGCCTCCCAAGCTAGAGTTCCCGTCAAAACGACCACCAAGAGTGTACAAGGTATATTAACGCCCAAAACGAATTCAGGAACACCTGTACAGCGCTTCATATATATAGCGTAGGCGGCAATAACTTTCTGGAAATTCTGACATGTTTTGGATGCACCATTGGCAACCGGCATTCGGCCAATACTGGGTCATGATTGGCTGTTGGGTCCAGACTTTCGACCAATCAGATCTTGGCTTGATGCCGGACCGCCATGCGTCCGGAATTCTTGGCCAATCTTGCGTGAAATGGGCTTCTCGGCCGTAGCAGCATCTGAGTGCGAGCGGTAAAGTGGGATCCGTGTGGAATTCCACCAAACGCTTTTGACCAGTGAAGTTTTACCAAAATCAGTGCAACACTAGAGGCCGACAGCATAACAAAGTGGTGGCATTCGGTCAGGTTCGGTTAAGTCAGCTCTTAAGGGACAATAGCGAAACGGATGGACGCTTGATATTCTTTCGTGATGTAATAGGCCACAGGTGAGTCTTCGTATTAATCCGAATTTCTCAAGTTTATTTGTACCGAAAGCTGTTTTGTACAGATTCCTATCCGAGGAATCTGACATACTGTTTCAAACTAGTGAACAATCACGTGACGTAGATCACCGACTGACAATCGTCTTTACCGGTTGTTGATCTGCTTACCAAGCTGGGTGGACAGGTAAATCAGTTGCTGACCTTGGAGAACATGCCAGTTGCCCCCGGTACCTGGTCTATCTATATTTGCCTTATTTCCTTGCCTCCCTGTAGAGTGCCGTTGGACTGAAAAAGCCTGCAAACACAAAAACATGTATTGACAAATGGGGTCGCCATCAAAAAATCAGACACGCGGGACCTCAGTGGCAAGCATCCAAGGTCTGAAAGTAATAATCAAGTCTTCTTTTTCATGCCCTAGGAAAAGCCGCAAGTTCGAACGACTGTGCCCGTTGATGCACGTTATTCAAGGTGACCGAATTGACTTCCAACCCAATGGCCATCAAACTTTCCTTCATGAAGATATACTGCGATATCTCGAATATCGTGCCAACTGAAACATGCAGCGGAACATCATAAACGAGAATGTCACCTTAGTCTATCGTGAAAACCAAAATGATTTACAAAATGAGTGTATTTGCTGAAATTTCCTTCGTTTACCGGAATCCATCCCATCCAATGCAAACTTTTAATGAAAGCATGAAGTATCGAAAAACCCTAGATAAAAGATGAACGTGTAAAATCCTGTTTTAGAGCATTGTCATGCTTTACAATAGTATAGTTCTTTGCCGAACAAGATAACCTTGGCTGTGTTCGGTCGACGAAGCTTGGAGTTGCTTTCTCCCGCAAAAGCAATTTAGACAAATAGCCTGGATGTTGCCATAATCACTCAACGGCAAGTGACGTTGGTTTTGACTTGTGGTAGCAGTGTGTAGCGGTATAACTATCAAGGGATTCTGGTGAATTTAAGCTGCGTTCTCCTCAACATCAAATCAATCAGCGTATGAGTAGTTGTCACGTGATACGTGAACTTGGTGTTCAGCTGGTCAATACGAGTGATACGGATTCGGAACTAAGCCAGGCCCGGGAAAGTGAGACTTCATTAGTGAGCTGCGTAGAGCCTCATTAAACGAGTGAGTAGTACTAGAACCCTCTGGATAAAAACCGTCATTTCTCGATGACATTCCTGCACAACTTTACCTGAATATTGATAAATACGATAAAAAGTACTATTCAGTTCTTCGTCTTTAAATTGAGCTTGAAAACAAACGAGACAAGCTCTAGCCGGGTGATTCTAGATACACAGACTCAATATTTAAGACAAGAAATTACGGAAGTTTTCACTCGCAGTACTTGTCATGTTCACTACAGTATCTTTAGTAAAGTACAGGGTTGAAAAAATGCGACAAACGAACAGGAATAATAGGTTGGTTACCAAGAGAAGGCGACTGGTAGACAATACGCCCCAGAAAGAACAATTAGAGCCTAATAGTGTATTTTCTGAAATTTCCTTCGTTTACCGGAATCCATCCCATCCAATGCAAACTTTTAATGAAAGCATGAAGTATCGAAAAACCCTAGATAAAAGATGAACGTGTAAAATCCTGTTTTAGAGCATTGTCATGCTTTACAATAGTATAGTTCTTTGCCGAACAAGATAACCTTGGCTGTGTTCGGTCGACGAAGCTTGGAGTTGCTTTCTCCCGCAAAAGCAATTTAGACAAATAGCCTGGATGTTGCCATAATCACTCAACGGCAAGTGACGTTGGTTTTGACTTGTGGTAGCAGTGTGTAGCGGTATAACTATCAAGGGATTCTGGTGAATTTAAGCTGCGTTCTCCTCAACATCAAATCAATCAGCGTATGAGTAGTTGTCACGTGATACGTGAACTTGGTGTTCAGCTGGTCAATACGAGTGATACGGATTCGGAACTAAGCCAGGCCCGGGAAAGTGAGACTTCATTAGTGAGCTGCGTAGAGCCTCATTAAACGAGTGAGTAGTACTAGAACCCTCTGGATAAAAACCGTCATTTCTCGATGACATTCCTGCACAACTTTACCTGAATATTGATAAATACGATAAAAAGTACTATTCAGTTCTTCGTCTTTAAATTGAGCTTGAAAACAAACGAGACAAGCTCTAGCCGGGTGATTCTAGATACACAGACTCAATATTTAAGACAAGAAATTACGGAAGTTTTCACTCGCAGTACTTGTCATGTTCACTACAGTATCTTTAGTAAAGTACAGGGTTGAAAAAATGCGACAAACGAACAGGAATAATAGGTTGGTTACCAAGAGAAGGCGACTGGTAGACAATACGCCCCAGAAAGAACAATTAGAGCCTAATTTAGTCTTCAAGACTAAAGCGTGATTGAGTGCATTAATGCGACTGGGTTTGAGAATTATTCACAGGACCAAAGGTAGGCCAGAATGGTCGCAATGAGTTGCTTGGAACTGTCACGTTGAACATTCAAACGAATGTCGCCTAAGTTACTGGAGAAATATATTCTAAAGCGTTTCCGATGCGGTTGAAACTGTGACTGAGTATGCTGAATCCGCCAACTGTTTGTAGACCGAATAACTTCACCAATCAACGGCGTGAGAAAACGCGTCTTATAGTCCTTGAAAGGCTATTGATTGACATTCACGGCGCTGATTGAGAATCACCTCACGCTCGAGTGCAGTGTACTTCGACCGAATGCCGGACTTTTCTGTGTAGATGTCCCTCAAGCTAGCCACTGTCCCAACAAGTTTCTTGGAGTTTGCTCCATTATGACGACTTTTCAAGCATAAATTAGGAAACAATCTCTGATTTTCCGACTGTATTTCCATAAAAAACCATAGGTGTAGTTATGTTCTTGTGAATTACGACGTCATTGCAATGTCACGGAAAAGAACCGATTACCCATGAATACAACCTCCGCTTTTAATACTTTTAACTTTGAAATTGGTATAAAAAAAAGAAAAAAAAGAAAAAAAGAAAAATAATTGTACTTTACTGTGACAAGCAACGTTGAAGTCAAGAACATTCATTACGTGCTGATTTTCGAGTGAATTTCTGTTACTAACTGTAAACAGTCGGTAAGCACATACACCTCCGGTTGGATCAAACTCTCAGAAACCAAGGAAACGTGACAGCGGTCATTCTGGTGCTGACACGTCTGTTCAGAGTCTCTGTAGTGCCAGACTCACCTGGAACCCAGCTGAATCTCTCGTTTGTGATGTTTCCAAGCAACTGAATCGCTGCATCAGGCCGCCTCAAGTTGCGCTCGCTACAATATTCGAGGTATCGCGACACATGTATATTCGTAATGCACTACTCATAAGGTTGCTGAAAATTCGTCGACAACCCATGATTTTGCCCTCCTTGGGGCTCATCAGGTAGACGCAGTCCCCGAGTTTCCGTCGACTTTGTTCTACTTGAACCCAGGTGAGTCTCTCGCAAAGCCAAATTTGTTTGCAAATGAGTGTATTTCGCTAATTTCGTGCAATTTGGTTTCAAGTAGGACATAAGGTTGACGGAAACTCGGGGACTGCGTCTACCTGATGAGCCTCAGAAAAGGCGAAACCGGTTGTGGGCAACCTTAAGAGTAGTGCATTACAAATGGTTACCTATTCTTTACACCGCAAATCAGCATCATCCATAAGTCACTTGAGAGGTTGGAAATATTCGGGACCCCTGAAAACAGAAACGTGGCAAAATCTGCATGACCAGATCTAATGGCAACTGAGTTTCCAGACATCTGTGTTCAGTATATCCCATGTACCTATAGAAGGTGAGCAGATTATGACTCGATGAAACCTTTGAAGGTAATAACCAATTAGCTGTGCATGACATGGGGGTGTTGCCTCCTTGGGCTAATTTCCCATGCTTTGTTTCGGTTCGCACCTAGCGTAATGACGTTTGTGTTTGATCCAACACCTAAGGACACAGTGCATCAACATTTCAAAAGCCAGCGCTTGCGACTGTCCTACAATCGATCAATAATCTGGCTGGTGCATATAACCCAATCACAGCTCATCTGACTAGGGTGTGGACTTGATCTAGTCATCTGACTGCCAAGGAACATCAACATTAGGGTGTCAAACACATTTCGTGGCTGCCGTGAAATTTGCAGACAACACCACCTGACAGCTTGGCATGTCTACATGAGGGGGCTAACAGTAGAGTCGAAACACAAATCTTTGGGTTAGGAACGATAGTTTATCTTTTCAGACGCTTTAAGATTGTTTGACCACCCACATCGATATGACACTCATTCATTATATGATGAATTGTATTATTATTGTTATTATAATCATTATTATTATATTACCTAATGTGTGCGCTAAAGGTAGCCTTTACGGGAGAATGTCTAAAAGTTACTCTGCTATCATTAGTAAATTTTATTCACAAATGTGGAAGTCAGCTGAATGGCTAGTGAAATCCAAAGTGGACCACTAAGCCAGGTTTCGATTTTCAGCACTTGTCACAATCCTAGCAAATGAGTTCCACCTCTGTAGTGGCGACAGATGGATCTTGTCATTTACCATTGAAGTCAACCAGTCGGGGTTGTCGGCCTAATCTGAAGTTGTGGAGATCTTAACTCGGTCAGATTGACGTCCGAGCTCCCCAAACGGTCATCATCATCATTACTGTTAGCTGTAATAACCGCGTACTTGTCGTACAATAGTTGTAGCTGCCACAGTTTCGGGAAAATGGGGTAGGTAGCTTCGAATTGGAGGCGGGGGCTGATAAATTAGTGCGTAAATACAGTACTGTAGGTGAACTGTTAAGTAAGGGAGTTATGCATTGAAGGCACTAGCTTTGATGCATGGGCGCCATTGAGGGCGCGACTGGGCCATGTCTCTAACCGATGATATGGACCGTCTCGGGGTCCCCATCCGGGAAGACGGCAACGACCAGTAATTGCTTCTATACTTCACTGCCAAGTCATTGTTTGACCGCCTCTGGCTCTCTTCCACCCTTCATGTAGTTGTGCGCAAAGAGCCGTTCGAGGGAGTCGGTCGACTGGTATACGAAGCACGTGGCCAAGCCAGCGGTTCATCTATCGAGAGCGAGTTATTTTCCCGAATACCATTCCACCCACTTCAGAACTGCTGATCCGGTGTTCCCACCAGATTCGGGCAATGCTCCGGAGACATCGATGGTCAAACATTGAAAGTCTTTTGATGTCCTCGGGGCGGAGCGGCCAGGTTTCTGATCCATATAGTAATATGGAGCGCACCGCAGCATTGTAAACTCGACACTTGACAGAGAAGCTGATGTCACACCTACGCCACAGGTGATGCAGGTTTACAAAAGCTGCTCTGGCCTTCCCAATCCGGACGGAAATATCATCTTTCGCGAGACCCCAATCGGTACTGAAATTTGTTCAACGTGTCGACTAAATCAATCTAAGAGCACAATTTCAAGAATTAAATTCGAATCAACCGAGCGTTATTGGTTTCAGAGAGATTGAAGATTTGAGAATTTAGGTAACTGAACCTCAGTGGCTTCAAGTGGAAAACGATTTGTTTCGAAAGCGATATTTATTCGTCTCCGGACCAGCGGAGCTTTCCCCCATGGAGAAGAAAGTACTGTTTGTTTTCCTATGGATTGGCATCCATTTCTTGCTTTACTTACCAGGTCAGACTAGACCGACAGACTTCCGCACGCTTAAAATCTTTACTTACTCTATGCCTCTGCTCCATCAGGATTAACTCAGCAGCTATGCCTTTTTACAGCGAAATGATCAACGAATACTGCCCAAGAAGAATAGTCTACTTGTATTTGATTCCTTCGCCTTTCATTAGCTACTTCACTGAAGCTAATATACTTCTGGCTAGATGGGCACATAGCTTCTCAAGAGATAGATCAGTTTGCTCGTCACAGAAGCCTTCTCTTATTGAAGGAAGAATCAACCTCTTGGTGGCTCATCCACAATCCTCTGCAAAATCTGGTGTTCAGTGGAGCACTCTTTCTGAGAAGCTGTCCGCCTACTTGGTTTCTCGTTACGCAAGATGGTAACTTGATCCCCGTCATTCACCAAAGGCAAAAATCAAAGCTTTTCATCAACACTGTGATGGATTCGGACGTCGCGTTAAAATTGTCAAGCAAGCTGAAAAGGCAACAGAAGTTTTCCAACCGATGCGGTTGCAAACTGCGTTGTATATTATGTTGACCGAGTCCTTTTTCGTTATTCACTGACTAAGAAGGGCGAAACCGGTCGTGGGATGTCGAAGAGTTTTCAGCAACCTTGTGAGTAGTTTCCTTTATTAAAACACTTATCTCCTTCTGAAGAAACCGTTATGCGGGATTGACTTCAAGCGTCTCTTCTCAACAGTGGTCGCTGCATAGTGTTAGAGCTGAACTGAATTAACTGGCGTTTTTCAAAGAACGCTGGCATGACTTTTTACGGATATGTTGATCACGATGTAGGGATATTCTGTAATGTTCACACTGGAGATTACTCTCTGTCAGTGAAGCCAATCTACCTTAAAAAGGCGAGAAACACGTTGTCCCGGATTCATCCTTGTTAAGAATCACTAGCAGTTCGTGTCCGATGTAACTCTGAGAGTTTCGAATTCGCCACCTTCCGACCTGTCAGTGACAACTACCGTTTAGCCAACAGCGGCATATCAACAGTATGATTAGCTCTCACGTGGACAAGACATACGAGATTTGGTTTTCACGAGAGACTCAACTGAATCTATCGTTTATGATATTCTACAACTGAATGTGTTGCACACAGCCCGCCTTATGTTTCAGTTGGCACGATCTTCGAGATATCGCAGTACATTTTCATAGAGGGAACTACTCACAAGGTTGCTGAAACCTCTTTGACAGCCCACGACCGGTTTCACCCTTGTTGGAACTCATCATCATAAATGAGAGATTCAGTTGAGTCTCTTGTGAAGATCAAACTGATTTGCAAATGAGTGTATTTCTGAAAAAACTGTCCAATTTGGATTCAAGTAGAACATAAGGTTGATGAAAACTCGGGGACTGCGCCTACCTTGTGAGTCCCGAGAAGGGCGAAACCGGTCGTGGGATGTCGGAGAGTTTTCAGCAACCTTGTGAGTAGTTTCCTTTATGAAAATATACTGCGATATCTCGAATATCTAGCCAACTGAAACATGAAGCGACCTGTGTGCAGCACACTCAGCTGGAGGACACCGTAAACGAGAGATTCAGTTGAGTCTCTCGTGAAAACCAAATTGATTTCCAACTGAGTGTATTACTCGAAAAAAGTGCAATTTGGGTTCAAGCAGATCATAAGGTGTTTGGGTGCATAACGTCGATAAACCTTGAAATAGATCATATCCGAGGCGCAGCCACAGGTGACTGGGCTTATTGGAATAAAAGTTTATCATTTGCTTGACCAAAAATACTCCAAGTGACTGTTCATCAGTAATAGTGACTCACTCATTCAACCCAAATATTATCGATTTCTGATCAGACTTGCATGATCCATCAGATTCGAACTATAGGTTGCCAAAGGTCAGTTGATGTGGTTTCCATATCCAATAGTTGGTTGGACACAACAAAACCGTGTTGTGACGCGTAGTTTACCCCAAAATCTTCAAAGGCTCAGACGGCAAGCTTCACTTGGTGGTCACAGCATATGGAGAGTCTGTAGCCACACGGTCACCCACATACTTGAATGTTCGGCCTACAGTCGCTCACTCGATCACGAGGCTTGTCTTTTTTTCTCATACTCACAAGCCATGTCACATTAAACTGACTCATCGGACATCGATTGTCTGCACCGCCTAATCAGCGTAGCAACCACTCATGTGCCGACGCGCCCACGTACACGCACTGGGACCTACATAAAGGGAAACCGAACCCAGTCAATACACACAGACTCGCGCGCGCGCAGGGAGCAGGAAGTCAACCTCTCCACAAGTCCACGGACAATTATGGAACACGTGTAGCAATCGAACTGCGGAGAAAAACACGTTCCCGCAGTTCGGACTTTCACCAAGGCACTCTCACAGACGACAAGTTCCTTTTTTGACTTGCTCCCATTTCGCATTGTATTTATTTTTATACGTGTCGCAACCCACCAGTGTCAACCATGCAAAAAACTATTAGTGCACACACCTGAGTTGTATTATGGCTATCATCACCTCTGCACTAATACATCCTCCTCAAGAAGTCTAACGGAATTTACTCATTTGACTAGCAATATTTGCGATCATATGTTCTTACCATTTAGATGGATGCCATAAGCCAATAAAGTTTATGAAACAAGAAGTCTTGA